TATTAGTGTAGTTTTAAAGAAAAGCAGCATCTTTACATATTAGCAAGCTATGTTAATATTATGGCTCATTTAAATACTTAGAAGCTGTTCTGGCCACACCTAGCATGTTCCTGGATAGCTCATGCTCTTGGAGCAGAGGGTTTGTTGACCTTTATCCCACCCTATAATTCACTTTAAAATGATGGCCATAGAGCTGGCCCAGCATAACTAGGATAAATGTTATCACCTTGTACATGTTTTAAAATCACCTCCTTCAGCTTTGTTTGTTTCAACCGGATTAGATTATTAATCTTACTAGAGAACAGATCATGCCTTTCTCTGTATTTAAGAGCTATTGTTAAATAAATACCAACAGTGGTTCAGATTGTGCTTCACAACTCAGGAAAGTTGACGCTGTTGTCATTAGAGATGGAGTACTGCATAGGTGAGGAAAAAGAACCGGAAGACAATGAAATACACTATATGATGGAGGTGTCATTTGGTCATTCTCTTTGTGTGTTAGCAATCTCCCATAATAAATACAATTTAGTGTCCATTGCAGAAATTTATCTGACTAATTATAGAGGGAGGAAAAAACCTTTAGTCTGATTTGAGTATACACTTGTCATCTTATGCCCTGTTGAGAAAATAGGACTAGAACTTATATTCTATTCTAACATGGATTTAATAGTACAGAATGCCAGTAAAATTTGGTTTACATTTTGAAAAAATCAGTGGTAAATTGTTCTTACTTTTACTGCGATAACATGGAGTTATCCTATAAGACTATGGAATAACTTTCATACTTGTGATGTATAGAAACATGAAGATTGTAAACAGTGTCCACCACACCTCACAATAACTTCTGCCACCAGTAACACCCAGATGAACTATTGACTCCATTTTTCTGACTAGTCCAAAGCACTGAGTCACTACATAACAAAGGCATTAATATAATTAGTTTCTAAATATTTGCCAGGCTGACTGTCTGTTGAGAAGACAGTAGAACAATATGTAGCAGTACACAATAAAGCAACTGGAATATTTTCAACATATACCTCTTGTAGGTGTTTCAAAAGGAGCCCTTTTCTTCCAGAGCTCCAGGGACAGCTTCAGTGGGTATCATTGCCCCTGTTTAGTTTCTGTCAGCACTTTGGAATGGGAAGGCTCCAATACATCTGTTCTTCCCAACAGATCAACATTAGCTTCCTGTGATGGCTGGAGACTCCTAGATTACAGTTCTTACTCATTTCTAAATTCAGTGGCATCTGGGGAACGTGCCATCTGTGAAAGAAATGACAGTGTTACCACACAGCTGCAAAGAGCTCATCAGGAAACACTGAGATTTAGCAGTCGTGTCAGCCACATAAAGATCTTGCACCTAAGAACAGAAGGGTTTCTTAGCCTTCATATCTGTTCAGAGTGTAATTTAATGGCTGTTGTTGCTTGAAGCAAGATTTCACTCCTCTGAGTTACTGTATCTCCCACCTATATTTTGCTTAAAATTCAGCAAGAGTTATGAGTAAAAAGTCTTTGCTTTTTAGCCCTAGCATTTTTTAACCTTTTACCTTTGTAGCCGGGCATTTGGGCTGGGTAGCTTTTCTCAGAGAGAAGCTGTGCTTTCTAGTGTCCTGCCAAATTCAGAATCCTTGGAGAAACATCTGCCTACCACAGAGAAAGGAGTGCTTCATCTCCCAGCTCTGTTCTCTGTGGCATCACGCTTCCTGAATGCATTAATTTAAACCTGTTTCCCACTTCAAGCATTTTATTACAATCAAACAAACGTAAAACAACCAAGGCCTAGAACTGATTATAATAGCTAGAATGTGACATCTAGTGGCTTTAATGAATATTACACAGGAACTTGAAGGTCTTTATCCATGACTAAATATGCTCTGTGTAACTTGAGCTTGCCTAATATGGTCTTATTTTTTAAAGTAAGTATATCCAAGTCATCGCAAGTAGTATCTTCTCAAATGCGTGACTTGTGAAACAAAATAGAGGACTTGAACCTGTTTCAGAGGTTTGTATTTCAGTGAAGTACAGCACTCAGTGCCAAACTGTGTTTTGTCTCCACAAGTGGCTACTGCAAGGTAAATGGAAGAAAATCCTATGTTTTACATTCTTCTTAAAGGAAATGAGAAATAGCACCTCCTGTGCTTTCACAAGAGGCAGGTTTTTCCTGCTGGGAGATGGAAATTACATGGTGATGTTTTCTCCTGGGGCACGTTTCCAGTCTGTCCAGAGCAATCCTGGGAGCCGCTGCTCTTTGGGTACAGTTTCTGTCATGGTGTTACCTAAGGAAACTAAGTGTGGGAGCTCTTATGCTATCGTCATGTCTTCTAATTTTAATGTTTCTCGTGATTAGTAACAAGCTGTTGCATTCAACTGAGTTGAGACAGCTTTTATTACAAAGTTCTTTTGTAAGTAGATAAAAACACAGACACAGATACAATACACTGATTTTACTACTTGTCATCCCTTTATATGATGCTTTGCTTATATAATCAAAGATTGGCTAACAGTGTTTTTAGTTTTATGTTTCTGCAATATTATAAAGATGATAACAAAAGATGCATTTTTTCCACAAAAAAAAAAAGTAGATCCCAAATCTGGGCTTTTATTCCCTCTGCTGGTAAATGCAGGTTCTTTTAAATAGTGTTATGTAGATATATAATGTCTAGGATCTTTACAACATGAGAATTATTTAACAATTTTGTTTCACCTTAAAAATTTCAAAGTGACTGGTCCTAATTTAAAAGTTTTTCTCCTTAAGGTGATACAAAAATCTTTTTTTTTTTTTCTCTGTATAAACATCCTCAACACCGATCCAAGCAGTAACTTTTTACATAAGCAGGTGGCCAGGACAGGCAAATTTATCACATTATCCTATAATGATCAGCAAAAAATATATGGGTTGATTGTGATGTGTGATTAGGAAAATGTTTAGATAGTTCATGGATTTTTTTTTTTTTTTTTAAATTGCATATCAAAATGGAAGTACAGCAATTGTATAAGTATTGATCCAGCATTTCCCACTTCTTCATTTGCAGTACCACATTTTTATAAAAACTTTCCTGTTGATTTTACTTCACAGAACAAACATAAATTTTCAACTTATGTTGTTGCCTCAGGACATCAATATGGAGCTGGGGAAGGACTCCTGCACTACTTTTTTAAGGTAGACATCCAACTATTTTTGAAGGGTCATTTAATTTCTAGTGGCAAACCACACTGGAACTGAATGCATTTTTAGTAGCTTTGGTATCATAAACATAATGCTTTTGTGAACAAACTGATTATTTGATCCCTTTGAAATATTTTAGGTACGGTGGAAGTGTTATCCACTTTTTGGGCTCTATTTTTTTTTTAGTTTTTTTCCATGTTTTTTAAACAATATGTCTATATGTACTTTACAGTGAGAACTTATCTGTCATATCAGTGGAAAGAGGGAAAAAGTCTTTCTTCTCAACATTATATTCTCTTTTTTTCCAAGCATTTCTTTTATTTGGGATACAAAATAACATTTGTCAAGATCAAAGAATATTCCTAAAAAAAAAAAACAAAAAGAAGTTTCTTGGTTTTTGTAGGCTGCCAGTCAGTATTTCTCAAGAATTGTTTCTCTTACTGCACTTCCATTAATAATTCAAGAAATTGAACTTTAAATCCCAAATGTATAGATTTGCCAAGTAAACAAATACTCATTTTTTAGCTCTAGTTAAAAGTAATCTTTTTCTCCTCACTTCTTCTGCATTTGTATTTTCAGATAGGTTGGCTTAGTGAGACTCCTGCAATACCTGTTTTTGGAGATGGAAACAATTTTATTCCAACTATTCATGTTCTTGATTTAGCAGCGTAAGTAAAAAAAAAAAAAATCCCTGGAGAATAATTGATACCAAGCTAGATAACAAATCCAAATCTACTAAAGAGTACTGAGGCTTTTAAATTGGAGTGGGTGGGTTTAAGAACATTCTTTGACCCTTCTTACTGAGTCAAACAGAGACTTCCATTTCTTTAGCACTAGATATGCCTTCTGGAAACCTTATCTGACTGTTGCACCCACGCTATGCTTTTAAGAAATTACTCAATTGCTCAATCTAGAGTGTGATACCAGTTAACTGGTACAGAATTGGAAATGGATCGTGGACTCTACAGCAGGCTAAGTTAATACCTTCTACAGATGTTGCTTTTTATCCTCTGAACTTCTTTCCAAATAAAATACCTAGCTGTGCTTCTTTATTAAGGAAAGTGTATATGAAAATGCCATGCTCTGAAAAGTTCTGTAGGATTTTACAACTTCTTTGTACTGTTTCTGAGATGCATTTAACAATGAAAGCCCAATATGCTTCCCTAACGACCAGCCCCAACTGTACTTGCTACGTTTCAGAGTGTTACAAAACATAGCAGACCACAGGCCGAGGTCTCACTATATACTTGCAGTAGATGTATCTATGCACACTCTTCAAGAATTAATAAAGGTAAGAGATTTGATTCTTTTTTTTTTTATTTTCAGATATCTTTAAGGTTTTAAAGACTATACATTTTACTGAAGTACAAGTTCCTAGGTCTTCCTGAATTATCTTGTGTAGTAAATGACAGGGAAAATTATTTTTAAATCCTCCAAGACTTCTGCCCTTTGAACAAAATACATTCCTGATTTTGCAGAACCAGCTTTTGCAGTATTATCATTAACTTAAGTAGAAATTTTACCTAAGAAAGTTCTGGTGAATTGTTATGGGATTCACCATACTGTAATTAGATCCTCAAAGTCTTTAAGATGTTTTTCGCTTCATTTTGTAGGAAGATATCTTGTTTTTCCAAGTATTTTCAACTTAAGTCTTGAAATAGTCTTGATGACTCTGTTGAACTATACACTGATAGTGAGAGTCAACTAATACAACATAATAGGAGACTTGCTCATGTAGATCGAACAAATGTTATGTAAGGACCAAACATAGAAGTGCAGTATTTTTGGTTGTATCAAAGAGTGTTTCATGGAACAGTGTGTTAGGCAGCTCACAAGAAGATGCAACCTTCGTTTTGGTTCAGGTTAATATACAGGGTTTCAATGAAAAGTTTAGTTGAAGAGCCATTCTCTATAAGTGACCATAATGCAATTAGTCAACACACCTATGGAAGAAGCAAAGGTCAAAATAACTTTTGCAGCTATGGTCAACCATATGAAAGAGCATCATATAAAAATGGACAGAAAAGACATCAAAAATATTACTTCCTTAGAGGAGAAGGGTAGAGGCTATTGAAACATATTATTAGCCATATAAGGCCATTGCATGCTACTTATTAAGTAAAGTTTGGGAGACAGAAAATGAAAATTAGCATTGTTAAACTGTAGGTTGCAGAAAACAAGATGTCAGACTTCAAAAAGGTGTGGTTATGTCCAGATGAAGAAAATAGAATAGAAAAGATCATGAAATCTGGCAGGATAAGTGAAAAAACACTTGAAGATCAACTCTCAGGGAAGATTCAAATTGAATATCCTTTTTTCAAACACTTAAAGAACAAAAAGGCTGCCAGCAAATCTATAAGGCAAATTGATGATCATGGTATAAAAGGAGCATTTAGAGAAGACAAGGCCATAGCAGAGATGCTTTGCATTAGTGAGCGTGGGGTAGGAATTTAGAAGCATCTTAATGCTGCAGGATCTCTTTGTGGATAACTTGTTAGAGGATCTGTGTAAAACTAAAGTAACTCTAGAAAAAGATTATAGAATGAAAGGACAAAATGAACACTAAGAAACCACAAGAGTCTTATGGTATTCACTGAAGAGGTCTGAAATAGCTCAAGAACTCTGATTTGCTAATTCACGCATACAACCTGCTGTTTATCATGATCCTGGCAATTGAAGGCTGAAGGCTGATAAATGTGATGCCAATGTAAAAAGAGAGGTTCCTGAAATATTTTGGGAATTACAGGCCAATATGTCTAATATCGTTGACTAATAACCAGGCACATTATGAGGCATTATAATAAATTAAATGCATTAAAGGACCCCCAGGTACATATGACCTATTTCGGAAGAGTCAATGTGACTTTTCTAAAGTACTTTCCCAAGAAATACTTCCTACAAAAAGTACTTTCAAATACTTTGGAAACCTCCTGCAATTCTTCAGTGTGCCCTGCAAATGTGGATAAGGGTGAAAAAGTTGATGTAGTCTATTTGAATTTATCAAAGGCTTTCAAAGAAGTTTTTCACCAAAAGCTATTGAGAAGCAGCTGGGCACTCTTAAGAAAAGTGGTTGAGTCCTTTCATGGGTATGTTTAGAAACAGGAATTAGAGGGCAGGAGTAATGAACAGTTCTTGTAGAGACAGGATGTTGCCAGCGGGGAGAGTGTTGCAGAGAATGGTGCGGAGAGCTATCTTGGCCAGGAGCTGCACCAGCCCAGGGCAAAATTGTGAAGGTTCATGGGAGAGAAATACCTTGAGACTTACCTAAATATACAGCAGCTATTTCTAGTTTAGGAAGTCTCTGAGCTGAAAATAGTTGAAGATTAGAAGAGTATCTGGAAGGAGTATCATATATGCTTATCCCATTCTCACTTTCATTTAGGCATCCACTCATTGACATCTTTGGAGACAGAATGCTGGAATAGATGTAGATTTGATCTGATGCTTTATATAAATTTTTATGATTTTATGGAATCTAGTGGGGTTTTGAATCTAAGGGCTGTAGGAGTAACTAACAGTTTCTGTTTAATGATGAAACGAAAATGCTATTTTACTATTGTTTACATAATTAAATACTTCACGAACCTGAAGTGAAAATGCTGAGCAATAAAACAAGTCTCCAAATAGATCTTAAGCAGTAGGAGGTTGTACATAGCTTTAGGAGCTTTGGAACACTTTTCTGTGATTTTGGGTTGTTTGTTGTTTTGTTGGTTTTGGGGTTTTTTTTATTGCAAGTTCTAAAGAGGAACTGCATAGAAAAACAAAGGTGTTCAATACTAACAAAGTTAATATACCATTCACTGTCTATTTCAAATCAATATACTGATTTTTCAGGTATAGTGTAACATAAAATTTAAAGCACGTATTTTATCCACAGGAGTCCTGTTCGATTTTTTTCTAAGAAACTGATTTGATAAGTGTATTTTTTTTGCCTTGATAGTGTATCAGTAAGAATGTTGGACCAGGAAAAATTGAGAAGATTCCAAAAGAAAATGCATTCCTGAGCAAAGACTTAACAGTTAGTACTTTTTTCCTTTTATTACTTAAGGAAAGGATGTAAACTTAAGAGTATAATACCATGAAATATATAATTTCTTTTTTTTTTATTTCACCAGAAAAAAATAACCCTAAAACGTGCCTAAAATATATACATTGAGTTTAAATTTAGAAAATATATAAACTAAAATTTAACTATCATAAACCAGACTATTTGAGGACTTACAGCCTGATTTAGAAAAGCAGTGAAGCACTGATGTCGTCGCTGTTGCACTGAGCATACCGGAGCACTCTAACACACCCTACACAAAATGATAAAAATTAAAAAGAAAAAAGTTAATAATGGGGTGCTACTAAGGCTGATGAACACAGTGTACAGAAATTACGTTGTATTCATCTATTGATCTGAAATAAACTGTTCATAGGAGAAATAAACAAATTACAACCCTGATAGTTTTAAGATGGTACTTGATAAATTTATGAAAGACGTTATTCCCTGCAATTATATGAAACCTTTGTATTGTACAGAATAATTATTTAATAGTTCGTTTTCTAATAGTTCATGAGAATATTCAAATACAAATATACATTGAAAATATTTATAGTTTTAAAAAGCTTAAAATATCTGTTTTGCTTTGTGTGCAAACCTTCTTTCCCCATGCTTTAATTCTTTCTATCCTCATGCCTCCATTCTAGTCTCTGGTTTAAGCTAACAGTGTTCTTCTAACATGCATAACTTGTCTGTAAATAAATGTAGCTTTGCTCCCTCAGCAAATGCATTTGGATATGTTGCTTGTGAACCTGCGAATGGAATCTATGTTTCTGAAAGAGACTTTCAATATTAAGTGGGTTGCTGAGGCAGGACTGGTGGAGAACATTGAACAAATCGTCAAGGAATACAAGCAAAGTCGAGGATTACTGGTAATGGTTCGATGCACACTATTCTAAAGGGCTGCTTTCCTTTTTTTCCCCAATAGAAATGGATATATAAACACAAGCTTTAATTTTCTTAAGTAAAAATACATGGACAACTAACGTAGGTGCAAAATAAGTGAACATAAAAACTGAAAATTGAACTGAAAAAGTTAAAAAAGAGGAAATATTAATTAAAACAATAATCATTAAGTTTTATTTCTTTTATGCCTAAAACTAAAATCATGTAAATGCAAAAAAGCTTCCTGATGGAGAAGCTGCTGTTCTGAAACTTTTTTCTGTATGCAATATATGCCATTCCTGGTATATTTTGTTTCAAGAACACAATACATGAATCTTTTAGTTAAGCTTTTTGTAATAGTCAGTAATTAGGCAAGTATTTTGTGTCCTTCTTTATGTTTAGTGAGCTAGAATATTCAACTGCAATGTAGTGATTCGTTGTTTTGGGTTTTTTTAACTCTGCTCTACTGTGTGACATAGCGAGCAACTTTGCTGTTTCCGATGTTAGCTTAATACTTAGAACTTCTGTATTCAAATGTATAGGGAGGGTTATTGAAAAGTGCTTGCGTACATTCAAGTATTGATTGGTGTGATAAAGCTGTTCACATGTCTAAATCTTGTTCAAACTTTGAACAAGAGTTCAGGGGGTGTAAAGCAAAATACAACTACTATTGTTTGAGGTTGTTCATTAAAAGTCCCTGTGTACCTCTGAGAGGATTATCAGATCTGTGTTCGGGTTAAACTACTGCATCTGAGTACATATGCATGTAGTTCAAAAAATTCAGTACAAAATATAGACATACCAAGTGGCAAGGTGAGGGAAGGATAGCTAGACCTCTGACGCTGTCACTACTCTATTAAATTTGCAGAATTTGCACTGTCAGATTTACTAAATTAAGATAGGCAGTTAATGATGTATGATTTTGAGTTTGTTGCATAATCTATTTAATAAGTGTATATTGGAATCCTGATTATAGTTACACATACACAAGCTAGGTAGGCTGAAATAAGAAATCACTAATATCTTAAGATTGTGATGGATCTGAAATTTTTGAGGCCAAAATAACCATTGTGCTGACAGAACTCTACCTCAGTTGGGAAATACAGTGTTTGCACATGTATTGCAGAATATCTGCCACCTCATTCCACAATTCACTGCATCCTATCTATGGGGTTTTGTTTTATCTCTTTTGATCGTTCAAACACTAATAGTGCCACTATAAGTTGGTCTGTGAGTCTACTAAATGGAAACATGCTTTTTCTCCAATGGTAAAGTTGTACATTTAATTTAAATAGCTGTGTTACTCAAAGCCTATGGATGATATAGGAAATATTCAGCAATAAATAAATAAGTGAATTAGTAAAACTGAAATATATTTTCAGTTTTAATTATAACTGTTATTTCCTATTAGTTACAGTAAAAAAAGGTTCCTTTTACATAAAAAAAAAAAAAAATCTGTATTGTTTGAATGATAGTATATCTTTCTTTTTTTCCAGCCTCTCAAAGTTTGCATTCATGGTCCTCCTGGGGTTGGCAAATCAACCATTGCTGAAGAGCTCTGCAAATACTACAAGCTACATCACATTAAGATAAACGATGTGATTTCTGAAACAATAGCAAATCTGGTGTGTTACTGTTTTCTAATGTTGCTCTTATTTTAATTTCTGTGATTTTAAAATCCTCGGCACCATTAAAATTAATTATAATTCAATTTTTTTAGAAGGAAATATCTTTTGACATAACGATCACCTCTGGGGGATACACTGAACTCTTTTTAGAGGCTGAAGGTTGTTCGGTATCTCTCTGTCCAGGAGCATATGTGAAATGAATTGTCGAATTTTTTTTCCCTTTTATTACATATGTGTTTAAAAGAAATTTGGCTATGGAATTTCTGAACCTATTCATATTTCTGATCTTGTCTTCAGGAGAAAATTGTGGCGCCTAAAGAACTGGAATCTGATAGTGTAGAAGAAGAGGGAGAAGATGATGAAGAGGAGGAGGAGGGTAAAAATGTAGATGCAGCACAAGAGTTATTAGCTGAAATAAAAGAAAGCATGGAGCAGAACACAGGTAGGAAATACAAAGTACTAAGATGGGATTTAGGGAACTAGTACAATCCTATGCAAATGGAAAATCAGTAAATAAATGTGTGCTTTAGAGCTTCTACGCTCTATTAAAAGCAAGAATCATGCCCTGTCCATTTGTGCCTCATTTAAAAATCAAATACAATGTTTTACATTAGACATTATATACCTTGATATTAAAAGTGATTTTTTTTAAATACTGTGGTGTTTTTTTAATTATAGAAGTTCCATCTTTCTATTTTTTTATACATTTTACTATCATTCTTTTTACCCTATAAGTTGATATATAAGTAACAAAGGTATACTCAGAAGCATTGGATTCTTGGCCATATGTTTTTAAAAACAACATATTTTCTTCTCAGAAGAGGGAACATAAATTATATAACATAAAGTAAAAAGTTAGTGAAGCACATCTTTAGGAAATTTGCAAAGAAGAAAAGTATTCTAGTAAGAAAAAGAATTAGTCCACTGTCATATGATGTTGCGGGTTTTTTTAAGTACCTTATACCTCATTTTGGCCATCTCTAAAATGTAAGTAGTATTTGCTGAAGCCTATAAAGAATTTTAAAGTCTGCAGATTGAAAAAGGTCCATAAAAAATTGCCATTACCAAAAAGTATGAATTAGTATCTACATATGAATAAAGTCATATAGTTTTTTTACTTAGTGATTAACATATTCTGTGCAGTATAAATTGATCCTCCTTAAAAATGCATTCTATCACTAAAGGTTTACCTGATTTGGATCTCGTGTCTCTGCAAAGCAATGAACTTGTAACACATCCAAAAGCGTCAGTAATGAGATCTATGGCAGCATCTCTTCTGCACGCCTTGCTTTGTTTAAAATAACTTTTAAAATAGTAACATACTTTTATGGTTACAATTTTTTGTAAATATTTAAGACTTTTAAAAGCCAAAGCAAAATCAAGTAGGAAACTGGAGTCAACGGTTGCAAAAGGACAAAAAATCAGGTCAAACCAAGCTTTTTACTCCCATGTATTTGCTCAACAATGTAGGCCAAGTTAATGAACGACTCCCTATCTCAATCTATTAATCTGAAAACGAAACTTGTAAAACCTATCTCGTGTTTGTTTTGCAAGACTATTTTTAAGTCTCACTGTTAATTATAAATACAAAATTATTGCTTTGTCATGTTTTTTTCTATAAATATTTCTTTGCTGCTTCTATTAAAATCGGATTGCATTATTCTAAAAAAAACCTGGCTTTGCGTTTAGTATCCTTAAAATTCTAATAGTGATACCCTTGTAAACACAAATGTAATTTTATTTTACAGCTACACATTTATATTCCATAGATTGCTGACAACATGTAATATACAAACAACTCAAAATACATACATTTTTAATGGTCTAAATAGAAGCGGTTTTGATAAATGAATTAAAACGTTAGTAAAATAATTTCAGATCTCTCTTTTCGATAAACTAGGTACTTATTAACCTTCTTCGTGTCTTAGGTCGGCTAGATGATCAGTATGTTGTTAAATTTGTGAAGGATAAGCTCAAATCTATGCCTTGTAGGAATCAGGGATATGTTTTAGATGGATTCCCAGAGACCTATGATCAGGCAAAAGATCTTTTTAATTGTAAGTACTGCTGCTTTGGTTTTTATTGCTGATAATATTGTCATTATCATTATTGTTCTCAGTGCCATACTAGTTGAAGTGCATCAGCCTTGTAATGACTGCAGTGCAGGACACAAAACAAAGTTTTGACGTGATGCTTAAAATGTAAGAAGGATTGTAATGCACCTTATTTAATTTAAGCACAAGATAGTTTTCAGGCTGCTGTCAAAGTGCGAAGTAAATGCACAAATCTGGAGGATGCTTTCTTGTTCTGTGTTGGTCTGCTCCACTCAAGCAAGCTTTAAGGCAGATTTTCATCATAATATTTAAGGACAGCTTAATAAGGGGATCCAGCCAGTGCACCAATACATGTTTTGTGAGCCAGATTACAGTGGGTGTATTAGATCAGCTACAGTAGATAAGACTTCAGAGGAGCTCTGCAACATAGATTTCAAATTGTGACTAGGCACTGTCCATGCATTAAGTCCAAGAATCATCTCCATATGGAAATTGCATCATGAGGTTTAATGGGAAAAAAATCCCCCAAAACAGTCTTGTGCAGGTTAATATGCTGGGCTATAAATTATCATGCTCAGTTGATGCTCTTCAGGCAGTTTTACTAACTATTCAGAACAGCAGACATTTAGAGGCAGAAACCATTTTAACTGTACTACCGTAAAACATTTCTGCTCGTTGTTCTGAGCCTTGTCTTTGCTTTTGGCACAATAATGTATTCGGCAGGAGGAGAGGGCAGGGTCAGGACAGCAGTTTGAAAATTGGACACATTTTTAAAATGTGTATGCACGTGCATACTTCTGCTATATAGGCAAACAACTATTAGTGTCCCAAGGTAGAATTCTGTGGTGGCTGGCAGCATGAATTACTTACTGAATTCTCTAAACTGGTGTCTAGGTGAGATTAATTTCCAACAATTAGTGTAATTTGAATATAGACAAACTTGTGTTTGTACTGGGCACACTTTTAGCAAATACAATATTGTTGCTTCAAATGAAAATGTCAATCATTTCTTACTTTTGTTTTAGTGGAAAGTGAAGACGAAGAAGAAGAAATTAAAGGCAAAATACCTAAGTGTGATAAATTAATCACTCCTGGTAAGTTTGATAGTTTTATTTGTAAATAAACAGAAGAGTTTTCAAATACTGCTGCCACCAACGAGAGGTCTAAAATATCACTCCATCTGTTCATATTTAATTTAACATAAAATAAATATCTAATTTGTGTAATGCTGCTGTCCCCTTATTTGAAAATGAACAATAAATCAAAAGGAAGGTTTTAGTTTGGTTTGTGGGTGTTTTATTCTTCTATTATTTTTCTTTTTGTGAAAATGCCATCAACTGTTGGCTGATAACAATAGTAGTGGCTGCCTTTGTTGTGGTTACAGCAGCTATTAATGGAACAAAAATGAGCTCCTGAACTTGGCATATTAAAAAAATGTAAGTTTATCTTTGGTCTGATATCTTGAAAGATGTTACCAAATTCATTTTAATGCATCAGTGAAGTTGGAAATTAAAATAGAGTGGGTTTCATCTAAGCAGAAATAGCTTCATCCTGGTGTTTTCACTATTCTTGATTTCTTTGGAAGTTTTGATTACATTCCAACAATACATTCGGCATATTTTGCATTACAAGATATGCATAGTTAGATAGGATAAAGGTTGAATATCTCAAAGGTTTAGTGTCCCAGAAAATGATAATTTACTGGCTTCAGTGGAAGTGAAGAAAATTCAGAACTTTCTGAAAAAAGTCATTGCACTTACATGAAGGGGACAAAGGTTTCATTTAAAAGGCAGGCTTCTAATAAATTTTTAACCACTTATGAATTGCTGATTTCTGAAGTGAATAATTTCTGTTATTCATAAACAAACCCACTTTTAGCCACCATTTCAAAAGAGGAAATATGAATGAATTATTATGATGGGCTGGAGAAGTACTACTTTCTCTCCCATAACAGGACTTCAGGCATGGAATCTGTTTTAAGAAGATACTTTCACAACCTTGCAGGAAACTTGTTTTAGAAAATAGAATGGTCCAGAAAGGATTTTTGCTGTTTTGGGGAGGCTTTCTTGGGTTGCGGTCAGGTTTTTTGTGGGTTGGGGGAATTTCAGGTGGTGGGTTGTTTGGGATTTTTTTTTTTGAGGGTGGTGGTGGGTGTCTGTGCTTGATTCTACAAACTTCTTTCTGATGTCAGAAAAATTACTTCCTGGCTTTGTTAAATTAACAGGTTTCAGTAGTATTGAGTAAGGATAGTAATAGAAATATCAGAATATATTGTGATAAATAATCTGAGTTGAAGCTACAAACATGACACTTCAGAAGTGAAGAAAGGAGACTTCTTTCTTTTTATGGATCCTTGAAACGTTTCTGGTTTTTTTATCTACCAATAGTACTACAAATAACATTGACACTAAATTTTATGGCATGTAGTGGCATAGTATCTTTAATGTATTATTCATTTTTTTTTTAATTTACTTTAATTCAGCAGATGCACCTTTATTTGTGAGACTAAAAATCACAATACAATACTTTTGATGACTTGACAAGCAAGTTGTTAAATTTTCCAGTGTTACTTGCTGCTTTGGCTGCACAATTCATAAGTATTTTTTTCCTTCTATACTTATTACATGTATTGGTTGTACGATAGCTTTCTCAGAAAATTTGGACTACACTGCATTGCTGTTCTTAAGATTTTTGTGCTATTTATTGCAAGAATAGTCTTGTTGATAGTGCTAGAAAAGAATTTGGTGAAATTGGAGTTGGTAGTTTCTTTACAGATGTCTCAATATTGTTGGATTGCTCTAACTGGAGAAGTTGAGTACAAGCATTTGATAATTAAATTCTCTATAAATACATATACGATTCAGGTCTATTTATGTTCAGTTGTGGTTTAAAATTTCTTACTAGCACAAAATAGGTAAGATAGAAGAAAAACAATAATATATGAGTGCTGATGATGTGTTCTTCTTCACAGAATTTGTTATTTCTTTGACTGCATCTGATAAATTCCTTATAAACAGAATAATAAATCTGCCAGAGAGTGTTGTTGCTGGAACTCATTATACCCAGGACCGGTTCCTGCAATCTCTAAATCTCTTCAGAGAGTTAAACACAGAAGATGAGACTGTACTCAACTATTTTGATGAACTTGAAATACATCCTCAGTTTGTTGGTATGATATAATGAAATTAGTAGATAAAATATGAATAAAATGGTTTTGTTGTTACAAATTTAACAGTTGTGAAGATCAGATTGTAAGTCTATATATAAAAATAATATTTTAAATTAACGTTGCAGAATACATATACAACAAGCATTTGATTATATACCTGCAAAAATATCTGTATACTCATAAGGATTCTGAATTGTTCTCATACAGTGAATCTGTTTTAAAAAAATATTTTTTTAATTGTACATTCTTGTAGGCTAAATGAGCAAAATAATTTTCTGACTTAGGTTATAGACCTCTGCACTGGCATCCTTCCAGATTGGTGTAATAGTATATTTTCATCAGCTTTCAATATTATAGTTGCTCATATTTTTTTCTTTAGATTTATCCTCAGATGCCATGACAATATATGGGTAATCTGGAAATAACGAAGCATGGAAAAAAAAAGTAGTAAAAATCAAAGGTGGAAGGCTAGAACTGATTCTGTTTTGTACTATACCTGTATATGAGACACACTATCTAGAAAATTGTGATTACTGGGAAATCTTGAGAAGATTACTATAATTTGATTATTCAAAATCAGTGAGATCAGGGTGAAACCATTCTTAAGAAAAATGTTTGGTTTGTTGTGGTTTTTTTTTGGGGGGGGAGAGGTAGAGGAGCGGGGAGAAAAGAAAGAACAAGGGAAAACCCTGCAACTATAATCAAGCTGCTGATATTTGGAATGTCCATTGGAGATGAGTTATGAGAAGTTAATTGTTGAACAGCCTCAGTCATAATTGATTTCCTAAGTTTTTTTTATTTAATGTCAGTCATGGAAAGTATCTTAAGAATAACACCATACATGTGTTGTTAGGAAGTGTAGCAGTAGAAAAAAAATAGTGTGTTAGTATAATAATTTTAGAATTGAGGTAATTTGGCTACAGAAAGTACATGTAAGAAATGGTAAATATTAAGGCCTGGTGCCTTATTCTTATATTCTTATCTCAGACACTTCTGGTTATGCAAGTAGTAGCACTGTCCAAGACCATGACTTATTTTTGTGGGGACTATAAAGTGTATACTCTATGATAGACTACTGCAGTGTTTTCTGCTAAGAATTATGCCCAAAAATTACCTTAAACTCTAGTCCATTACAAATAAGGAAACTCACTGGCCTACTAATTTTAATTATTGAGGTATCACAACTGTGACATTCAGTGACTTCCACATGATTTTCACATTCAGTTTATAGTGTTGATTCTCATCTTCAAAGGAGCATTGTCTTTAGTTTCTGTTTATCTCAGGAACTGCCTCTTTACGTATACTAACATCACTGACTGCTACCCACCAAAGTAGGCAAGCGTGTAGCTTTCTGTTGTAGCACGGTAAGGACAGATGACAAAGATAACTTCAGTGAAGAACCTTCAGCTCTGCAAATACCCCTCCATTCTAGCTGATGTTCCAGTTGGTTTATCAGATCCATATAATTAAGTAGCATCAAATTTAAGCAGAGAACCAACTGCTTTCTCAGTCATATTCTGAATTAAGTGGGGAATGGTTAAAAAATTGTCCTTGATTTGTTAAATACTGACTTAAATTAATCAAATCTTTCTTCCACCTTACTTTTAGAAATTCATAAAATGGCTTTATGAATTGCTTTCATGATAATTATTTTTTCTGAGTTTGAAATATGATTAGTGCAAAGGAGTGGGCTTCAAGATTCTGGAAGCCCTACTTTGCTACAGTGACTCACTACATGAAGTCTGCAAGTCAGTTGTCTTGTTTTTCTCATCTGCAAATTGGGCATGGTGAGACAGGCATATTAGATCATCTATAAAAAGGCATATTAAAGTTATAACAGCAATTTCCTTTGAAGATCTTAATTTGTGAACTCCTTTTCTGGGGATATTTTCTGTCAATTAGTGTCAGTGCTAACCTCATTTTTTATTTAAAAGATATTTATTTTTGAGGATAAATGCAGTTAATTAAGATTGCTGTAATATTTGCATTGTAATCTTGCTTGGCCATCTAAGAAAAAAATGCAGTCTTTGAGACCTCAAATTCAATGATGAGAGAGTTCTTCACAATACTTTAAATTACTAGAAAAGTGGTTTGCACTGTAATTTTTATTGCAGAAACAATGGACTACTTGACACAGAAAATGTATTCTTCTTTTAATTTGGAATACTTCAGGAATGTAATTCCCGATTTTTTGAAAGACAAAGTTCTAAAAGAAATTTTATCATGTAGAATTATGTTAGCTTTCTCCTTTATTCGTTAGCAGAGTTTGGGCTTCAGGTCTACATCACAAACACTTAAACTCTTGGAATAATGGTGTCAGTATTAGACAGCTATCTTCTGTCTGAATTAGTGATTAGGAAGAAATGGGAAGCATGCTTTGCCAATGGCTTTCAAAATAATGTCATAAAGCAGAGGACTGTGGAGTAGGGACTACTGGATTCTCATCTAAATTGTGTATTCTACTTGTTCTGTTTTTTACCCTTCCTCTGCTTGCTCTCCTTACCCATTTCTGTACCTTTACATCTCCAGTCCCTTAGCACTGAACAACCCCTTTATCTCTGTATTCTCTGGATGCCTCAAAAGCCCACATTTCCTCTTTTCCATGCACATTTCTATACCCTTTCTGCCAGATGCCTCCCCACACTGAATGCATACAGAGCCCAGAAAGCCCTAGAGACAGTCCATATTTTTCTGTGTTTTTTCTTTTCCTTCTTTTTTTGCAAGGTTAATATGCAAGTAGCCTTCAGCAATTAAAAGAGAGAAGGAATGAAATTAAAGAGAAGGTCTTGCTCATTCTCTGTGCTCCTACATGAAGCTTCAGATTTGTTTTGTAGATATAACACAATAGGAGTTCAACTAGAGATAGGTTTGTGTATTTGTAAATCTGTTTGAGTGAAAACTTTGGAGTTTGTTGCCAAATCCTAACAACCTATTGTGTAACCTGCAGGGGAGACAGGGTCAAAAGCTGATGATGTTATGCATCTGGATAAGTTGACATAAGATTGGTGCCAGGAACATCTCTGATAGTGAATGACCTCCTTTTCAAGTTTCAAAACCTAGGCAGGCTGCAGCTGACAAACAGAATAGTTGTAAAAATTTTTTTAATACACTTCTCCCTTACATCATCTTAAAAAGACAAACTATTTTAGCTGAAACTGTTAAAGAAAATCAGATGTAGAAAACTTCATTTTGTGTAGCAAAAATTCAACATTTATAAGCAACTGAAAACAATGTCTTATACTTAAAAATTCAAATAGCGTGAACACTGTATATTTTTAGGTCTTGCAATTATTTACTGATGTCCATTGATAATTGACAGAAGTCTTGAAAAGTTCTCTCCTGTATTGTTTAAAAGATGTAGCCAAATTTGAAGATCCTGAGAACAGACTTATTTTAAAAGAGATCATCAAAGAAATTGGGGAACCTCGGAATTATGGTTTGACAGATGAAGAAAAGGAGAACTTGGAACGCAAAGCAGCTGAGGAACGCCTTGTCAAAGAAGCTCAAGAAAAAGCTGAACGAGAGCGTAAAGAAGCTGAGGAAAGGGCTGAAAGGATGGCAAATTGGGAAGAGTGGGTAAGTTAATACATATTTTTGGGAAACCGTTATTATTTATGTGTTTTAGATGGCTTCCAGCAATCTGTTACATAAATACACTTGGAAAGTGTGGCATAAATTCTCTACTTCCTTATATGATCCTTTAGATCTGGGTTAGATTATCTTCACAGTGCATTTTGAGGCTCAACCTAAAGAATATAGTCTGGTTTTCGTTACAGACGTAGCTTTTTTGCATGTTGGCATCAGCATGTCTTTAACATACTTTTATGATACTCTTCTTGTTGTTGCTGTGCCAGACTTTTATTTTACCATTTATAAACATCTACTACAATAAACGGTATTTTTCCATAACCAGTCTTGAAGGACTTTTGCATGTTGTTCACTTTACTTCTAAGCAGCTGACCACATCTTAATTATCATGCCTTTCAAACGAGATTTTTAACTCAACAACTGCTCCAGTCTGTATTGCAGAAAGGTTTCTGAGCCTGCAAGAGAAACACCTTTGAGAGCTGAGTCCTCAGTTCAGTGAGGACTACCCGATGCAGTCTGAAGGATGCTTTTTGTTTGCTAATACTTTGATAAGTACTTGGTATTTAGGCTACCTGACCTCACGGGATTTGCACGTGATGCTTTTTCCTTTTCTTCTTTGCTACACCTAAGGGCATTTGAGGTAAATAACCTGAAATGCATACTATAAGAATGTTCTTGTTCACACCCAAAGTCAGGTTGTTTCACCAGAAGGCAGTTCTTCTATTGTCTGCTTCTAGAGGATTTAAAAACAAACTGATCATTCCACAGGATGCCCATACACATCTATGGGGAAATAATACCCTGAAACTACTCACTTCTAAAGAAGCGTTTACATTGCTCTGATGTTGTCTTGTAAATAACTTTTCTTTGTTATCGCTATGCTTATTTACAGCTTTGTTCAACATTAAATAGCATTTTGTACTCTCTGTAAACTTGTCTAACAGATTAGTAAGGGTAGTTAACATGCTTTTAGCTATATTCAATCCAAACCCATCTAACTTTCAAGAGAGCAAACTCTGCTTTATTAAAAGCTAAAGTAAGCGTTTAATAAAATGTGTGCTTAAGTGTATCCCTTTAAATAGGCAGATGCTCAGGAAATCTAAGCAAGTATTCATATGCCCTTGAGACTGTAGATTAGCTGCTGTCTCTGAGTGGTGACCAAAGACCACTTATAGCATTTATTCAATAGCACTCCTGGATTGAGTGAATAAGGTAAGTATCTTTTCCAGATATTACTATATCCATTTTATCTGAACATTGCTCTTGTGTTATGCCTTGAGTATAGAAAAGCAGTCTTCAGAGCATCATCTGCTTGCTGTATCTATGTATAACTCAGGCTGCTGATGAATAAAAACAGTATATGAGACAAGAGAGGACAATCAAATGGTTTTGAGTAATCTCCTGGCTAAAACTACTGCAAGTATGCGTGCTATTAAGTGCTATTAAATGGAAGAAAGAAAAATTCCCAGCAGTTTTATTTCCCTACCCTTCCTACTTTTTGAGTGTAATCATTGTATTTGATTTAACCTGAATTCAAGAATACATTTAGCTGGTGTAAACAGATGTAATTCACTGTGGTTTTAGTTTAACTCTCATCCCCCTCAAAAACGGACATAAATGAAATAAAACCAAAACAAAGCAAAGAAACCAAACACAAAACAAACAAACAAACAAAAACCCAACCCAATTTACATTTATTTAGAGACTCAGGGCTCCCTTTTGTGTTAAAATAGTCTCCTTCCCCTCCAGTGCAAAGAACCCTCAGGAAACTGCATTTGCAACAGTATTAATTTTTGAGTGATACAGTGTATTCCAAACATTTTGCCAAATATCTTAAGGAAACAGAACCACTGGAAGACTTCAGAATATAAAGAGAGAAACACAAAATAATTTTACTAAGGAGATTATTTCAGTTTTCATCATGTTCAATTCTTTGTCCTCACTGTGCTGCGTGCTCTACATTTAATAAGCAGTTCATAATATTTCCTGCCAAGGTGTGTGTTTTTAAAGTTCTGTCCACAGCTTCTAACACTATTTTTTTCTCTAGGCAACCATTATTATTTAGTCAAGTTCTACTTGGTAAGTGTTATAAACCTTATTCTTTATGATTTTATTCATTATTTGTAGAATAAACATCTGGAGGAAGTTAAAAGACAAGAACAAGAGTTATTGGAAGCCCAGTCCATTCCACTACGAAACTATTTAATGAAGAATGTCATGCCAACACTTCTGCAAGGGATAAATGAATGCTGTAGGATCAGGCCAGATGACCCAGTTGATTTTCTGGTAAGGTGATTACATTTTTTTTTCTTATAAATGTTTAAGAAAGCTTAATGAAAATATTCATGTAGACCCAAAGACTCTCTGTTAACATAAGGACTGTAACTCTTTTTCCCCACTGTCATGATAACAATTAATTAACGGATAGTATCTGCAATTCTGGTGAGCAGTAATTATTGCGAAAACTAAAAACTCAGCAACTACACTTTCTGGGATCCATTCACACTGTGTATCAAGTAAGGGCTTAATCCAGTTTTGCTAAACAGTAACAGGACAAGAATCGCTACCAGAATCTGTTTCTCTTTGGTGTGTGCACACTGCACACCTGGTGTACCCTGCCAATTCTGCTGTGACACAGGCCTGCAGCAAGGGGGACATCACTCTCCATCCTGCTTACACCCCTCTAGGCACGTGTTACTGTCATGGTGAATGAAAGCTCTTCAAGTAATTCCCTTCGCAATACACAGATAAATTAATGAGTAAATCCTATAAAACATCCATAGAATAATTCCAGTTGCAAAGGACCTCAAGAAGTTATCTAATTCAACGTTCCACTGAAAGCAGGGTCTGCATTGCATTCAGACAAGAATTCAGGTGCTGGAAAGTTATTGCTGTACTGCTGCTCTTCCTGCACATCCCAAGAAAGTTATTAACAACCTAGTACTGTTTTCATGAAAAGAAACATTTTATTAACCAAGCAAAAGCTTAAACTGACAGCATCAGTGTTGCGTGCCACTTTAAGCACTAAGCAATGTTGAATTGTTTTAACCTTTTTGCTTACTGATGAGTGACAACTACCTGTAGCTGTAGGAGCACGAGAACTTCCCTGCTAACTGCATAAATTCTAAAGATCTGTATTATCTACTTCCTGGATGTAGAACTCCGGCCCTAGGGTACTCCCTAGGATGTTCCATGGAGTGACAAACACTGTCAGAAACGGCTCACTTCCTTCTCTTGCCCGTGATAAATATGGGGTGACTGCTATGAAGGGGGAGAATGAGATGGATGGTATTTGTGGGGAAGAGGTTTCTCTGACATATCTGCCAGCAATTACATTTTAGAGCCATTTAATACATTCCATGATTTTGTTTAAAGCAATGTTATTCACTATATTTTTGCTATTTTGTGTATATTTTACACTTATTTTCAAGTATTGAATTCTAACTTTGAAACTCTTCTGTTTACAGGCAGAATATCTCTTCAAGAACAGTCCTGATATCGAATGAGATAAACATTAAATCCTCACAGCTGTTGAAACCGTTAAGTAGAAAAAGAGAAAATTCCTAATACATTTTAAATAAAAATACATAGTTTCTGCAATTATTTTTGTTTAGGCTTATTGTGTAATCTCCATTTTTTTTCCCTCATACTTTATTACTAAGTTGTATTGGGTTTTTTATATTCTTTCTACAAAAGTACCATTTACTGCATGTATTCATTAATACAGTTATGCATCTGTATTTCATATGTCTATTTGAAATGGTGAACCATAAGAATCTGTTCTCTCTCCAAAATTTTCTTCCTGGATTTTTTTCAGCTATACATTCTATTCAAGCAATAAATAGAATCAAATTGTCCTGATCCCTAGCGGATGTAGACACCTAGCCTGAGAAAACCTTTTCCTAAATAAACAAACACGCACATAGGTGTAGTTCTCATTTAATTCTCTTCATCATTCAATATTTGATACATGTTTTTTACAGATTCTTGAAGAATCTAGACTTTCCAGCACATGGCTGTCGTTCCCTTTTTTATCGACTTCATGCACCTTTCACAGAAACCGTCAGTATCTGTGCTGACTGAGCTGAAACTGAGAGCATATTTGGTGTAAAACAAATACAGGATTTTGTCAAAGCAGAAACCAAGGACTGTTTGGCAGAAGGGTGGGGAAGAGGAAGAACTGAAAGAATGGTGATTCAGAAACATTTTACACTTATTTTATCTATTGCTTTTAGTATTAAAATGTTGGGTGTATTAATGCCCAATGTGGTTATTCAGCTATATTAACATTTTTTGGGAGAAACAGTCTTATGTGTTCTCACACAGTCATACAGCAGCAGAGTTCAGAACCATCTCCTACTCTAAACTGGAGTTTTGGGGGATCTAGATTTGCTATATGCTGCCAGTCCTAGTTATCATATGAGGCCGTTGAAGATAAAATAATCGGTAATTTTAAAGAAAGTTTTACTTTGAGAGTCCTATTTTTTGGAGTAAAGATGAAAACGGGACACTAAAAAAAGGAGATAAAACGGGTTTTGTGTGTGTGTAGAGTAACGTGTTTACTTCTAAGAAGCAAGTTTTGATTGCTAGGTAGAGTGTGATTTTTTTGTTGAGAGACCACAAAAAAAGGAGATAAAACGGGTTTTGTGTGTGTGTAGAGTAACGTGTTTACTTCTAAGAAGCAAGTTTTGATTGCTAGGTAGAGTGTGATTTTTTTGTTGTTGTTGTTCAAAATTTTCTGAAATTGAGGCAGTCTGCTACAGCCAGAGCTTTCAAAAAACAGTTAGGAACGGATCTTTCTGCTGTGTGCGGGGCACAAAGCCCAACGCAGGCCGGCGGCGGGGCGCTACGACCCAAGCCAAGGCCCGCAGCCGGCTCTGCCCCGACCCCCTCCGCTTCCCGGCGGAGCGCAGCCGGGGGGCTGCAACCCCGCCCCTGCCTTCCCGGGAGCTGCGGGGCCCCGCTCCCCGGATGCCTTGGTTCCCTCGCTCGGACCCCCCCTCCCCCCGTGCCCGGTAGCGCCGAGCCCTCCCCGGCCGGCCCGGCCCCGCCTCGCAGCCGTTAGCGCTTTGTTTTCAAACTCGGGCTCGCGCTCCCCCCCATCACGGAACTGCAGCCCCCAGGATGCCCTGCGGCGCCATCCGCCGTCTGAGCATGCGCGGGCGAGCCAGCGTGCGCGGCGTGCGGGGGAGGGCGCG